AATGTAATTACAATAAAAAATAATAATAATAAAAGTAAAATAATAATACTACGACAAGTTTAAATTAAATTTTGTTAAAAATGATGTCAAAAGGGTCTTACGTCAGCATAAGTTGCAGCACGGTTATGCTACAACACTGATTTTCAGCAAAACCCTACTGTTCGTCCGTTAGACAGCGCCCATACAAACATTTGATACTATATGACAGTGACTTTAGCGGTAAACATTTAGGAAGTAATAAATTAATGAAAATCCGTTTCTCGGTATGCCAATTTTTGATCCGGGCATAGACCGGGATAGATAAAATAAAATTTAAATAACTAAATTAAACTAATTTTGCAAGTATTTATTCTTACTCTCTTTTATATGTAAGTTAATAGTTAAGTTCATTTTGTGCAATACGTGGTTTGAGTTTAAATAAGTTAACCAAAAAATGTCGATTTAAACCGTTACAAGTGTTTCATTTAAAAACGTAACTCGTCCAAAATCATTCGATATTAAAACTAAATCGTGCGACCCGAAAAGACGCACACCACTATAAAAGGCAGGTATAACCAACCCTCGGTAAGAATTGCAAAAATATACGAATAGTTATATGGTTGTGCGCTAGTGGGGTAGGAAGTGGGTGTCGCTGGGTGTTTGGGGATGGGGTGTCTCCTAAAAACGGTTAAGTAGCTCCCTACCCTGTATAACTATTTTATGCGGTCCCCTTAGAAAGACAGCGAGATGAGGCCGCGATACGCCTATAGACGGTGAGGGTAGAATTTTAACGTATCTCGCAGTTAAGAATTCATACCTGATTTAAAATTAAATAACTAATTTGGATTTCGAGTTAAAACGCTATTGTTTATGTTTTGCTTGTGTCCTTTCGTTATAAATATTGTAACTACAAGACACAAAGGGTCAATGTTAGAACAAAAAACTGACATTCATTAATATGAGAGAATTTAATTTACAGAAATGTAAAAAATATTTAACACAAATATAATTATAATATATAAATTAATTTATTAAAAATATATACCCTCCTGCAGTCCCCCCTATAATGGCTGCTTTAAAGAATCCGAAACATCAAATCGTAGTTAATATATTTTCAATAAGTCAACTTATATATTTTGCGTTTTAAACAGACAATACTTTGTAACTAGTTACCAAAGGTAAATATTTTTTTGTAATTCCTGGTATAACATTTGCTTGTTACAGTGTTTCACTCGTACAAATATAGACTGTAAGGTGTGATAATAAATCATCCGATCCACCTGTTTGTGTAAGGGACGAACCGGTTCTTTGTTAAGGAACGTATTGTTGTCCACTTTCTACTGAAGAATAGATAAGTTCGTGTGAATCTTGGCTTTTTAACCTGTTTGCTTGCTTTAGACCTGTTTTCTCTACGTTTTTTTTTCAGATAACTTTTTTTTTTATATTGTGGCATATTTTGCGATCATAAGATTATTTATAACAATACACCGTGCGGTGAACAAATACTTAATTTGAAAACTTAATTATTTTTTACATGTTATTGCACATGAAGGCACTATACTATTTAATAATCGAATATAAATTGAAACAGCACGGAAAGCTGACGATGCCGGTTCAAGTCCTTCCCGAGTCAAAATTTTTTTCAATTTATTTTCGATTTTTAAATACTTAATTAATTGAGATTTTAATTAATTAACTAAAGAGTTAGTGAAAAAATCTAAAAAATTTGTTTCGTTGATATCAAGGTAACATCTACAACAGATTTATTTTGTATCTTTTAATTAAGTATAAAGTCATTTAAGACTAGCTGTAAGGGTATGAAATTATATATAAAATGGGTGATAGGAATATGAAAATTCCATCCGGGTCTCAAACCACCGTCCACCAAGCCAAATAAATCATGTTGGGGCTGGGGCCTACGACTGGGGTTTATCATCCACCATCAAATGAACATCAGGCTTGTCTGTCTACACTTTAAAATTCTTACAATTTAAAATTCTCGTGACCCCAAAAATACATGTTCTTTAACAGAAATGTGGTGAGATCGTAAAATAGAATAAGACTTATTGTAAACGTGTTTCAAATAAACTAGATTCGAAAATCACCCTCACAAACAGGTTGGTCAAGAAATTCCGAAGAAATATTTGGGAGCTTCGATGTTCCCACCGTTCAGTTTTACAAAGAAACCTGTAGTTACAATATCGAGATTAGGAAACCGGACTAGAAATGGACTATGTTCTTTTGTAAACTATGTTACTTTTGTAATGATTCTAGAACGCCTGCCATTTTAAATGTTGTATAATAGATTTAAATGTTTGAGAAAAATAGTCAAAGTTAAATGTAATTTCCATACGTAAGTGCCTTATGTGGGAGAATGCCACATAAGGCTAATTGTATGTGTATTTTACTAAATAATTTTATTTCTTGGCAAATAGTTTCTTGAATTGAAAAGTGTGTGTTCTTTTAAATCACATTTTTTTCCGTTTTAGTTTCCCCTGGCTTTGAACCACCAGATAAACTTTTGAAATACTTAGTGCCTGTTTTTCTGGTGGTAACAAACGCATATATATTAAAGCTATTAGAAAACAATGTTTAGAACTATATTTGAATTAAGAATCTAAATTGTATATTACATACCTATTGAACTTTAAATAATATTTAAAAAGCAATAAAATTATTATATCCACCAAATGTAATAAAATTATTAAAAAAAATAATAAGTTTACCTGTTTCAATGGACCAGAGGTGCCGAACCCCATCGCCGCTTTTACCCATGTAAAAAGCCAACGTCTAAGGCGCACGAAGCGGGTGTGGGTGGTGGTGGGACCGCGGTCTGTATACACACTGTATATCTGTGTGTGTGTTCTCAACTTACTTGTATATAGGGTTACTACTACTTAAAAAAAATGTTGTTCTGGTTACCAATAATTATAAAAAAATATTGCCGTATTGTACTTCAGTATTGTGCTAATAACAAATAAATATAAAGAGTAAAATTACGTTTGATAAATAATTATTGTTGTAAATTTATGTTTAAACTTCTGAAAACGTAACAATGTTTGTTAAAAGCATTCGAAGCGTCGATTCGTGATTGAAATTAAATGTTACGTTTAAATAAAATATTTTTAACGGATTAAAACAATATAATATTTTGATTAAATTAATACGTTTCTCGTATGACACGATAGCTCACGGTGGCTAGAGCAACAGCGCGGAACACTGTGGATGCCGGTTCAAACTCTGTCCGTGTCCCGAAAGTTGATTGAGAGATGGAGGATGTCTTTGAGGTCAAAGTAATTACTTACTAATATACTTCACTATTAAAACTGTTCATAGTGTATTTATTCAATCTGTAATATTTACTTGAATGGACTGCCTAGTAATACGACATTTTTTAGTAATTATATGATGTCTTGACAGTATTACCTGAACCTTAAATAAATATCTTTCGTAGGCAGCCCTAGTAAGCGTTATATTTTCATTTCAATAGTTTTTCTGCAGCCGTTTGCGTATGCTGCACGTGTGTGCGTTAATGCTGTATTGATTTAGACGGAGTTGGCAAGAAAATTGCTTCATGATATAAGATAATCTACAGTGAATAAAACATTTTGCTTTTTGTGATCAAATATTGCTATGTGAATTCTTTAAGTGTTGAATTGACTTTCAGTACTTACCTGGTAGCGTCTATTTGAGATATTTTGTTTATTAGTCGATGGCTAATTCATAAATGAAACATTCGTTTATTCGTAAAGTTATACTCAAACAGAAATGAGTACTATTTTATTATATACGTGCGTGTAGTTTTAAAAACTATTGGATGTTTGTTACGTTAGTTGACTATGTACCTACAAATAGCAATTACTTTTAACTATAAAGAGTTTTAAAGAGGAAATAGAATTAATAGGTCACAATACAGGTAAACTTTCCATTAAGCAATTTTTTTTTACTACGACAATAGTAGGTATATCTGTGATGTTTTTTGTGGCGCTATAGGACATCTTTCGGTGTCCGCACGACCGAAATAATTTATTGCGTTCCGGTATTCGACACCAGTAACTCTTGCGCTTAACACAATGCTAGGCAACGTGTTAACTACTTAACTACAGGTCCTCATTTAAGTAAAAAATTAAATAAACCCATTTTCATGGCTCTTGTAAAGTTTCGAAACGTCGAGTGGCAGTAAAAATAAAACAGTTAACTAAAATAAAATCTAAGTGTTTTATTAAAATCATTATTAAATAAAATTTGTCGAAAAAAAAAGTTGCGCATTATTGTATGAACCAAAGGTTGCAGATCCCAGCGCACACCGCTCGCTCGGCAGTTTGAAAAAGCGAGCGTCTAAGGAGGCGAGCGGAGGGGGGGGTCTTATATTTTAAGATGGCTTCCGAGCGCGAATATCGACGCGTTGCCGCCGCCCCCACCCCTACCCCGATAACACGCGGCGTTTGTTGCCAGTGATTTGTATGGTTTTTCGTTTGCAGTAAATAGCTTGCAGTTTTCAGCTTCTATTTCGACTTATTAAAAAATGTTTATAATCTATGCTGCTGATGTCACACTAAGATATAGTGTATCTACGTGTACCTACAATCAAATTGAAATATTAAATATCCTATATAATATATTAGGTGATTGATTACAACTATAGCGTTAACGTGGTCCTGGGTTCTTAAAACAGATACAAATTTATGTTCGCTCCATGGATATTAAATTTAATCAGTGGTAGTTTTATTTTTACTTAAGTTAACTTTAAGTTTCAATGAGTTTCATATTAACGGATAAGACTTGTCAATTGACAAATAATATATTCAGCAAACTATAGATAGGTACATTGATACAAATAAAACTGAATTAAGAAAGCTGAACATTACAAACTATATAAATTAAAAACATACATGACAAGTAGTTATACTCCGAATACTATTATTATTAAATATAATTTTCTAATTTGCATAGGCGATAAAAATTACTAGAGACACAGAAAGAGTACGCACAAGGGTATAAAGTTTACAAATTGTTAAAAATCAACGCTTCGTATGACCACCTCGTTTCTTCACGCCAGAAATCCGTCTGTGAGCTGCCAAGCCCATGTCAATCAAATCATCTATCTGATTAAGCTCCGTACACGACACCGGCAGAGGGTTCCCTTCGATTATCACATTGTACAAGCCGGAAGGCTTTCTATCTAAGCTCCTCTGGTACTTGATTAACGTAGCTATCTTCTTAAGACATAAATAACTTAAGTTATTAAACGATAGATTTAAATAGCACAACGAATTGTTCCCTTTAGAATATGTGTAGCCGTCTTTAAAGACTGTGTTGTCAGAGCTAAATGGATCATCGAAATCTCCAAGTTCATTTTCAGCTATGGCGACCGCTTTGTCGTATAATAGAACATCTACGTTGAGAAAACTCTTCGCGTTTGCGTCCACGAGTGATTTTAGAGAGGTATCCTTCTCTAGTTTTCCGCGTTTAGGTGTGAGGCCAACGGTCGTCTGTCTCAATGTCTTCTTTCTTGCTCCCCTCCCGAATTCACCCGCTTTAAGTTCCTGCAGCGTCTTCTTAGCCAATTCATTCTTTCTCTTCAAGAATGCTATGTGTCTGGCTCGTGCTGTTAGCAACTCATCTGCTGTTAAAACGAATTCACTTAAGCTGTTTAGTAAATAGTCAGCGCCGTCGTCGGATAGTTTATTGTTTGATAAGTTGAGATAGCTCAGTTGCCTGTTGGAACGTAGGGCTTCGCCCAAATGTTTAGCGCCTTCATCAGTTATTTTGTTTGATGATAGATTTAGGATACTTAACTTCTTCGAAGCTGGTAAGGGAAAAACCAGCTTGGACGCAATGTTTGCTGTAATATTATCGTCGATATCACATCCAGCTAAGGATATATGATACAAGCTGTTCTCACAATTCAGCAAGAGGCAGAAATTGGCTTCACATATAAACGAATTATCCAAAATCACTTCAGTCACATAGGACGTTTTGAGAAATTTACTGATTTCGTGTATGGTATATTGGTTCATGCCGCCGTTGATGGTTATGCTCGTTAGTTGGGTGTAATATTTTATGATGAGGCCCAAGATCTTCCAAATCAGACGCGGTATTTCCTTGTTCTTCTCGAACTTTAATTGGGTCAGGTTATCTGCGTGGTCGTAGACAGCGGTGATGTAGACCATTTGCGAATCGATGGAAATCGGTGTTTTTAATGTGTCCAGGTTCTCGTCTTTCTCTTGATCTGATGTTAGTTCGAAATGTGACTGAAGTTTGGCTTTGCTTCTAACTTTTTTGATGCGGTCTGGGTTCACGGCACTCACATATTCATCTGTAATGTGAGTAGCGTTTCATTAGTATACAAAATCACACAAATTGTAGCTATTGTATGACAGTAGGAGAGAGAAACAAGGGCCTTATCTGATGAAAAGTGAATTACCTCAATGAAAATCCTTCATAGGGTTCGATCAGCGTATCGTATGTTATTTTAGCTTTGGAAGACCACGACCACGAGAATAATGTTAAAATTATCTAGAAGTATTCCATGTTTCAGAAAAAAAAAATAGATTTAAGAAACACGTTGAATCCGATGGAACCAAACTTACTATCCATTAATAGCCACCTAAAGCACAGCCTAACAAATAACATGCCAATCCATGGCCTACCAGCAACTGAGTTTTGACAACATTTCATTCCAGTTTTTTTCTGAAGATTAATCGAGTAATAGATAAATTAGGTAAGTAGGTATAACATTTTATATACTTAACTTCGACAATGTTTTGCATTTTCCGTGGTCATTGATGGACAAATATGGTTACTTAAGTATTAAGTTTTAAACCGTTAAGTGTTTTATTTCAATAAAATTCAATTTTCCGTGTGGCGCATTGAGTGAACATACATCTGTTTACATCTTTTGTTTACAAGTATGTACTTGTACTGTAACTAAGTAGTTGAACAGACTTTTGTGCCCTGCTCGACCGAAACTATTATTTCCCTTTAATAAGAAAAAAAAGATCTAGGTAAGTAAGTTTATAGGTGTAATCATTCATCCATGGAACGGCTCGTTATCCAGGAAAAAGTAGAGGGAACCAGGCCACGTGGCAGATCCCCGATGCGATGGACTGACCAAATAAAACTTGCGCTGAGCGATACTTTGAACGAATGCAGCAGAATGCTCACAACCGGGAGAAATGGCGAGAAACAGTTAAGCGAATATGACCTTCCCCTTCCTACAATACTAGATGACGATCATGACCTCTCTGCCAACAGAGATACGACTGTGAAGAAGTAAAAATCCTTTACTTACGTTGTTCAATTTTTTCAATGATGATAACATGGTCCATTTGTAGCTGTGAGCAGGCCCACGGCATAAATTCAACGAAGTTGTCCGGCTGTGGCCTGTTATCAATTACCTCCCCTTCATTGGACATTATACCGTAAAAGAACTTATAAAACTCTTAAAGTCTTTAGAAAACACGAGTAAACTTACGAAAAATAACTTGATTAAAGGAATAACGACATTTCTGACAAGTGACAGAAATATGTCGTATAGTATTGTCCATTCTTAATTAAGAGAAGTAGATTGTTTACGTACAAAGTTTTTTTTAATAATAAAAAGTAATGTGACTATTAAAAATAACCTATAGGTACCTACTTAGTGAAGCGGAGTCGTATAGTCACAGGTTCGATTTCCTTTGAGTCTTATCACTAATAAATACAATTTTAAGCCGTATACTGGTAAATAAAGGTGTAAAGTGAATTCGAGCTTCGGTTCCAGTCAGCGAATCGCAGAATGTTAACATAGTTTAACAGTAGACAGTAGTGCTAGAAGAAGGTCTATAGAAAAAAGGCAAGCCAATAATTTTTCTTCTTAAAAGTTATATTAAAATTTGTTAAATAAGATGCCAAGACGTACACAACGATCGTATGTAATTATGTAAATAAGTAAGCGAAGTAGCGAGTCATCACCCTCCTTCCCCCGCGCCTCCTCACAAAGTTCCCGCGATATTATAACTTGAGGCGAAACCAACATGGCTTCAACGATATGGAGAGACGATTTTCTTAATAAAATACTTTAACGGGTTTAAACCTTAAAGTGTGTATATATTAGTCATTCATCAATTTATTTGAAAGTTATTTGAACTACGGCCCGACGTTTCCAAATAAGTTTAACTAATATATGTCGCAAACCGTAGGTATAAGTGTTTTATTTAAATGTGTACTACTCGCGTAAACTGCAGAGATCATTTTATAAAAAAAAACAAAGAAAGTGATTTACATGGTATTGTTACTATTGTATTTCTATTATATTGGTATTTTTCTTATATTGATTAATTTATATAAATAAGGTTTAAAAGTTGTTTTTCACTGTCCTTAATCAAAACAACAGTATAAGGTTTGCTACGAATCGTGTAATATTTGTAAAAATACTACAGAAGGATATAATTTTTTATGGTTTTAACTTGAGATTAATTTACTAAACATTTCATAATCAAATATTTGATATAATTTTTATTTATATTTAACTTGGAACCCTTGTTTCAGGTGGCTTTCAGTATAGTCCCGGGTTAGTTTTAGCTTTTTAGAAAAAAACATAAGTAATCTCTCTCCATGCAACCGAGCCGCAAGTAACGTTAAGAAGTGGTAAGACGCCATCTTGAATCTCAGCGTTCGCGATCGTTACTTCACGTGGCGTATATTAAACCTCCAACAAAATTTGCACATGTTAGGTATAAGACTGTAGCTCCCTTGAAATGCGGTTTACCAGGTTATATAATTCATGGGTTATGCGGCGAACGCAGATCTGTGTCCGTTTTAATCAAAATTTTACAGATAAATTGTTTACTATCAACCTAATGTGGCGGGCCGTAGTAAAAATGAATTATAAAAGCTAAATTGTATACTTCGCGTTTTAAACCGTTCAAGGGGATTTTTTTTATGAAATTTGCCGGTAGAATGTATACTTACTTGTGCCTTTTTTAACTCTATTTGTTGCTGCTCTGCTTATATTATTTCCCTATGTGTTAATGATCCGTATGTGCAAAGCATCCGAAACGTCGGTAAATAAATTGTAAAGTGAAGAGTTAAAAGTGACTTAATTGTATAGTATTTACGTAATTATCTTTACAAATGAAAAAAAAATATTTATTTTACTTATTATTATTTTCTTTTTGTCTTGTTCGTATAAATTAGGTGCCTAATCGCTAGAAATCACTCCAGAGTTATCTCCTAACGAGCTTTCCATTAGAAATCTCCGCAACACGAGACCCGTAACTCGCCTTTTGTTAGCTTCGCCTCCTCGCCGTCAAATCTTGGAAGTAAGTAGTTCGTGCTCGGAATATTGCGGCTCTTCCAACAACTTTAATTTAACTTGTTCCGAGCGTCGCTTCCGCAACTTCCTATTTCAAAAATCGATATCTCCTTCCTTATAACGCTTGTGCGGAATTACCATAAATTATAGTGGGGCTTTCGATACGCAGGTACCTGCCTCGGCGTTAGATGGAATGCTTTTGACGTTTTAAAACGAAAATATAAGTATTAAACACTTTAACGGTTTAAAACGCGATATACCTTAAAGTAGTGAAATCCCGTTTCCCCCTCGTGGGGCATGGGGCGAACACATTTTTGTGTTCGTTTCACTGATCCGTTCTTTAACAGGCGTTCTTATCGGTCGGGCAGGGCACAGAATTTTGATCAACTACTTGATCAGAATCCCGTGCCCTGCCCGACCGAAATATTTTTTTTTGTTTCCTTGGGATTCGAACCTAGGACCTCCCGCGCTTAACGAAATGCTAGGCAATACGTTTAACCATTTGTCTAAAGAGGCGGTATATGTGGCGGATATACCTTATATTTAAAATATATATTTGAAAATTATTGTAACTACGGCCCGACGTTTCGGATACTTTGCAGCAGCCGTGGTCACTGATGTTCTAAATAAGCCGCATATCAAGCATCAAGATGTGCTGTCTTCCTATTTTCTTTGTATTGAAACGCAATTAAACTTGACGGATTTTTCCTACTGTTTTTATACTGACATATAATATCCAGATTTTCGGACGAAGTCCAATATGTTTCAAAAAAAAATATAAATTGATTAAAAACATGTTAGACCCGGTGGAAATCGAACCCACGAACCGTCGATCACCAATAAGCCATACTATGCTACTATAACATTAACGAAAGTCTATTTTATTTATAAAGATGAGGAACAGGTTGGCAAAAACAAATTTCGAAATTCAAAACTGTTCCACGACGAAGTCGCTGACACAGCTAGTACAATATACATATATGTCAATATATACAGATAGATAGCGAATATAATACACCGTTACATAGCTACGCGTATAACGCGAGACCATAACATTAAAACTTAAAGCAATTTAATTACCCGTTAGGCGAAATTTTGAGCGTCTTCACACTGTCTCAGGTGGCCTCCTCTCGGGGGGTGTTGGGGGTACGGGGGGGCGCTGGGGGGTGTTCGCGAATATCTCTATTTTCGCGGCTTCTCTAGCGAATAAATAAGGTAGGCGGTATTGATTTAGGAACGTGAATTTCGCTATGGCAAAACACTTGTGCTGCTGCGATATAACTAGGTATGTAAATTAAAAGCCCCCCTGTCCCCTAAATGGGACATGGGACGAACTTATGTCAATGCGTTTAACGATATTCTTTAAATATTGTCTGTAGTTTACGCGCGTAATACCTACACATTTAAATAAAACACTTACAACGGCTTAAGACGCTAGTTTATTTTTTAGTTTCGTATGTTTTACAGCAGCGGTAAGTGACAGGGACACCACGGAAAATAATTTGATACATATATTTCGCGTTTAAAACCGTTAAAATTGTTTTCTTTCAATCATATCTCTTGCCAATAAAGAATATCAATTTGGTTAGATTACTGGATTTGAATCAAGGATTTCCCCACTAGGCAACGTGTATCGTTGATTTTTAAATTTACAAAATTTTACGACCTAGAAATAAATGTTTTCAGTTTCACACTGGTGACCAAGTGATTAAGTCGAATGCCTAATGTGAAAAAAGTATTCTTGTTCTAAATAGCGAGTGAAGCCGCGCGTAAAAGCTACTTATCTTGTAAGGGGTAGTTCCGAACTATCTATAAACAGAAAGTCTTGAAGCATCCGTGCCTTAACACATCTCATCTTACTACTTAGTACAATGATTCTCAAAGTATCCATAAAATTTAAAAAAAAATTGTATTTATTTAAAAAGTCTGTACCCGAATACCGAAAATATGACATGTGATAAGATACTTAGCTTTGCGTTCTTTACGCTAAGTACTATATTTTTATGCTGATTTGTGCTGTAGTTGTGCTATCCTGTCCCGTACAAAGAATTTGTGTATTTGTTTCTGATATATAAGGTTACTAGCTGTGTCAGCGACTTCGTCCGCGAAGAATAGGTAGTTATTTTGGGCATACAAATTTGTTTTTGCAAACCCTCTTATCTATATGAATTTAAGCTGTTAGTCACGACGTCGGTCCTGTCCTGTCGTTCTTGCAAGTTAATCTTAAAAGATAGACATATAGTGTCGACACTTCATGACATATTTTAGATTCTTTAAAAAGGAATCATTTTGCCGTTAATATATTTTCGGTATCATGAACCGTTTTCGCAGCGTACGCTAGGGAAACCCTCTAAAATGAATAATGTTCCCCCGTTTTTCCACATTTCACGTTGTTTCCTCGCTTCTATTAGTCACAGTGCAGTCTTATAGCCTATAGCCTTCCTCGATAAATGCTCTAACCAACACAAAAATAATTTTTCAATTCGGACCAGTGGTTCCTGAGATTAACAAACTCTTCAGCGTTATAGATTAGTGTACATAATATTTGGCATTTTATTATTTACTACGGCACGAAGTGTGCTGTAGGTATGCCAAAAATTTAATGTGCTACTTTCAAAAAAGCAGAGCTAAGTAGGAAAAAAAATTCGCACAGCCCTTTGTGAAAACTATACGAATTATTGTACATACAAATACCTCAAAATACATGTACTTTGAGAGCCACTGCCCTCTCACGACGGGTAATATTATTGCCTTAATGAAAATTCCTTCTCTGAAACACATGCGTATTGCTCTAATAGCTTTTTCATTGGCTTCAGCGAGGCTTACGGGACTACGCTGTTCAATAGTCTAGCTGCTACATACAATGTAACAGTGACGACCATGTATAATAATTTTATGTCTGTCCTTACAGACAGACAGTTGATGTATAGTATAGGTACCACGAATAATAGCACGATATATTAAAAAAAATTTTTTTATTTTATTAGATATTATTATTTTGCTTACGCGAGTAGTACACATTTAACTGAAACACTTAAACGGTTTAAAACACGATATATATCGGTTAAACATATTTTGAAATTTATTTAAAATAATTCGGGCCCTAGTTAAAATAATTTA